TAATTTCTTAACTCAGACTTTTTACCAATAAGCTAATACATAGATCGAAGCTTTGCTTGAGTTTTTTTTATAGCTGCAGATATGTTTCTGCGAGGTTAACCACCTATCCAGATACATACCTACATACTTAGTGGTAACGTCGTGTATCTGCTCCGATGAGTGTGAACAGTGTGAAGTCTCCGTTCGCACAGAACGGAATACAATTCAATTGCCAGCATAATAGCAGCGTTTCCGCATATTAGATGTAATACATACATTTAATACATAAATATTAGACATTATAATAAGCAACCTTAAAAAAAAATGTCCCAATAAAAGTTACGAATTTCCATTCCAACATAGATATAAAAAATAGTATAGAAATATAACTAGATTTAAAGTAGGTATTTGAAAATATAGAAACATCAATTGAGGAAGGCACGCCACTGTAGGGTTTTCTGATTTCTCTTCTCGTTGCTTCTATATTAGTCTCAACTCGTGGAACAAACGTTTCCGCCTGCTAATATCTCACTTTGCGCTAGTTTATCTGTTGTATCTTAATTTCTCCATTTTCCCCCTTTCGCCTTTCGGTGTAAAGAGGCGTCACAATTTTGTTTTCGTCCGTTTTCGGAATTGGAAAGTCCGCTGAAAATCCCTTTGTATTCTTTGTTACACAAAACTAGTCTTAGAGATGTATTACAAGGAATTATTGTCAAATATTATAAATTAGTTTAATTTTGATTTTACTGGACTTATATACTTACTGCTAAGTATGCATTTTAAAACATATTTTCTAATATAATTGAAGTTTGAATATTTTATCGAAGTATTTCTGGAACTAACCAACATAGATAAAAGAAATAAGTTTAACTTGGAAAGTGCCCATAAGGACAATGTAAATATTATTTTTTAAAATATATTTTCTAATATAATTGAAGTTTGAATATTTTATCGAAGTATTTCTGGAACTAACAACATAGATAAAAGAAATAAGTTTAACTTGGAAAGTGCCCATAAGGACAATGTAAACATTATTTTTTAAAATATATTTTCTAATATAATTGAAGTTTGAATATTTTATCGAAGTATTTCTGGAACTAACAACATAGATAAAAGAAATAAGTTTAACTTGGAAAGTGCCCATACGGACAATGTAAATATTATTTGGCGCTATTCTTCAAACGGACGCTCTCCAAAGCTTTTGGTAATTTCTAAGCGGTTCGGCTTTTTCCGGAATTATGTCGCCAAATATTATTTATTCAAATTTATTATTATTTTCTTTTAATTTTTTAAATAAAAGACAGTGTATGCATATAAGAAACTTTAATTTATATAGGAACATGTATGAAATACCTATGAAACATTGGAAACCGACGTTATGCCACGATCCACGATGGTTTTTGCAGTTCATAGTTCGCACAGCTTTTTAAGTTTTCAGTGCCACTTTTTCGCAATTATCACGGGTTTGAGTAAATATAATTTAAATTAAACTCACAAGATAGTAATAATTACTTTGAAAATGAACGTTTTAAACACATTTTCGTTTTTTTTTCAATGAGGGCCGTTTAAATTTTATAAGAACAACTAAAATGTGCTATATGTAGATTTTTGTTTTTGTTTGTGTTTCTTATTTTTTTTTAGTTTAGTCATAGTCTAGGAAATTCATTAATAGCAACAGTATAATATGTATTGGGTTATTTTATTTATTTATTTTTTTTTGTTACGCATTAAATTAGAATATCAAACAAAGGTCAAATACACAGGTCAGAATTATTCGTGCAGGGACGGATAAGCCCACGAGCAAGGAAACTTTTGTGGGGAAATGTTTGTTTCTATACGATTATTTTGTCCTTAATGTTTAAAGCATTTGTTACGATTGTCATACAGAAATAAACTAGTATTATTATTATTATTATTAAATGATTATTTGTTTATTAAATGATTAATTTATTTTATTATTGATTGATAATGGACATATCAATTGATTATTGTGCCCTACCCACCAACAACCAAAATTACATAAAATCTAGTTAAATATCGACATGGTAGCTTGCTAGAATAAAAGGAGTTATAAAAATATTCACTCTACAAAATATTTTGATCAAGATTATTTGTATAACCTAAAGTTTTTGAATAAAGGTACTTTATAAGGACAATTCATATATTTTTAACTAGTTGCTTATGAATCTTTTAAAAATACAATATCGAACATCTTTATCATAGTAGGTTGTGAATGCTGGAAAACCAAGTTTTCTCACTGACTTTTTAGATAAATGACCGCTGGCAAATTTTCGAGAAAAAAAATGCTGTAGAGACCCTTTCGCATATCAAACGCGGAGTAACAGAGACGGCGAGATAGAGAAGAAAGAAGATTTGCCAAAATCCTCTTATCCTGATTGCTCCTGTCTTTTTTGCTGATATCTTTATGCATACAAATGACTAGATTTTTTCATGTTTTACCGTGCACTGTCGCCTCAGGAAGCGTAATGTTATTTTTGAACTATAAATCCAGATTTTCTTTATCTAAATCGTCTGTTTCTGTCGTTTGTCATATACGTTATTACATCGTTTCGTTTTATAGGGATTATACGTAATAAAAACAACCGTATACCATAAACGTTAACTATTTGGTTATTAAAACGCGTAATTCTGTAATTTCTACAAAGTGGGCGAATGTACTTTTACACTTAATTTAATAATTAATTAATTGATAATTGAATTGACTGAATAATACGTATTATTTTCTAAGCGGATTTAGAATAAAATATCCATAATGTCTTAATACACTATATCGGCAAGCGACAGTATTCTGTCAGTGCGAAGTATTTATTACATAACCACTTAATACGATAATATAGTACATTCGCTTGGGAATATACTTGCTCTTTATTCTTGATCCAGTACATTTTACTGTAATGTGAGCATAGTGACTGTACTCTTCCTACACACGAAAATCGGTACACAAAGACAGACTTTGGCTACCCGGTATATCCTTTTTTTTTTGGGTATATGACTGTAAATTTTGATTGATTGATTTTATTTCACTTTTAGAACTAAAAATGAACAACAAATCGCAAACAGCGTTTTTAGAATCGCAATCGCAACCTGCGCAACGCAACCTACGAAATTACGATTTTTACTGCGATTTTTTCTATTTGCGAGTTTCAATTTAGGCAACCAATATTACTATAGTTGCAATTTACGATTTTGCTGCGATTTGCGATTTCTTCTACTTACGAGTTTCAATTTAGGCAACCAATATTAGATACTATAGTTGCGATTTGCGATTTTGTTGCGATTGTGATTTTGTGAACTAGGACCGTGAGAACCTTCTATCTGCGAGTTTGAATTTTTGTATTTTTTTGTGTGAGGAGTTGCGATTTTGTTGCGAATGCAATTTTGTGGTACATTGCAGCATTTTACAGTAAACTGCGATTGATTTTTTGCTCTGATTTTATTTATTTATAGAGAAGGTATTATTTTTCTAGGGCCAGGATCATAATATAATATGATATATACCGGGTGTTTCTCAAGAATGGTTCGCCTCTATAAATTTTTTATTTTTTCTGATAAAAAACGAGATTTGGTATGTAAGCATATGACATAAATAAGGATTGATTGATGTATTCAATTCGTTTAGATCACTTACTGTTTCACCGGAAATTACTAAAACTTTTGATTTTTGACGGCACCCTCGGTATTTTTTTACTTTCTACGATATAAAATGACACTTTGAATAGAATGCCTAATATAATATTTAAATATTAAAATCGCAATATCGCAGGTTACAGTCGCAGCGATTTAAAAACGCAATCGCAGTTTTGCTCATCTCTATTTAGACCTCTTTCAAATATGTAAAATAACAAATTATTTATGCATTTTCAAACAAAAAAATATTCAGATATTCGCCCAAATTATAAGAAAATAGGTTATAATACTTAGTCTCCTACTTAGTATATACAGAGTGAGTAAAAGCTTGATATAGCCTTGTAAATATAGCCTTTATATATAATTTTATGTTTTGTGACGAACTTTCTGTTCCCAGAATCGTTATTTTTAAGCAATTTTCGATTTTTTTAAAAAAAAGTAATTTTTTATCCTTCGCCCCAAATTGCAAAATAACTATGAAATACTGAAAAAATTCAAAGAAAAAAATTATACCAAAAATTAATTTTTAAATAAATTATGTTTGGAACTCCTCAACTCAAGTTCCGCACCCTTAGGTATAGCTTATTTTTAATAGTTCTTATAGCTCATTTTTTATAATATAGCATATTACTGATGTCCACTGGAGATCAGTAACATACTAAATATTATCTATAGAATAGAATTCCAACAAAAATTAGTGGAAAAATAGCATATTTAAATCTAGAAAAAAATGTAATCAAAAATATGGACAACAAATAACAACAACTGTCAAATCGATTGCTTGCAATTATTCCAGACCATTCGGCCAGTTAGTCCTCTACACCAAAAGATTGACAAAAAAAAACTCTCAATTCACTTCAGTTACTGTTAGGCAGAAAGAAGTTAGTCGGGTGAGCTAGTATAAACCTAAAGTTGAATAAAAACGAGTCTCATTTATTCCATTCAAAAAGTTATCGTTTTGGCTCACCCTGTATAAAGCTTGCAATATAGTGATTTTTTAATATAATTTTCTGTACCAATAACAAGTAAAAAGTGATAACAATTATTATTATCAATATATAAAATATTATAATAATTTCTGATATTTTAATTTTAATCTTTAATGTAATAATTTATAGTTCAAATAAAATATTATACTAAATACATTAAAAACATATTTATAATATATTATTTCATCATAATACAGTAATAAGTATTTAGTGTGATTTGTTCAACTGGCGATTTCTTAAGAAGCAGTACCAAATATACAACCTTGACTCTTCTACATGTTTCACTAACCAGTTCAACTTATTCTCAGATTTCCGCTAAATCAATTTATTTATTAAACATTGTACGTATATTTATTACTCTTAGTACATAATCAGGTTTTTTACCTTCTGTCGGGTCTAATCTTTTTGCTCTCCTTCCATGTTTGGAGTTGTTATGTACAAACATGTTGTCTGATATAGCCAATAAAGGTCCGTCCACTGCCACTTGTGTTGATATAACCACCTGAAATTAAAAATAAATATTAATACTGTAAATATGATTATAAGCGCAAAATATTCATGTAAATTATGAGATTTTTGATGCTTTTTCACAGCTTGTTCATAACCAGCTTGCCTACTTTCTACTTATGATAATTTGCAGAAAAAAACGCGTACTCTACATAGATATTCGCTTACTAGTTCAAGAAAATAAGCCTTCAAGTTTTGGTAAAAACTTGAATTTTTGATATAAGTTACCTTGAAAGATCTAAAAACGAATTGTGAAAGATTTTTTTTAAATTCACCCCCGAGAATCACTAGGAAAAAAAGTTGTAGAGCGTCCAATCTATACTAATACACTTAAGTGACTGACTCACTGATTAATCACGTTCCTGCTCAAACCACTGAACGTAAGAAGCCCAATTTTGGCATACAGGTTGATTCTAGGGTGTAGAGGTTCGATAAGAAGGGATTTTTCGAAATTCCAGTTCCAAGAGGGTGAAACCACCCCTCAAATATTACAATATTTTTTATTTAAAAAACGGTCAAGTTTCCGAAAAAACGCTTAAACCCGTATATTTTATTTTGTTTTTTTACATATTTTAAGATTTTTTGAAAATGTATACAGGGTGTTTCGAAAAATCCGGTCATTGATTAATCACGATCCTGCTTAAAGCGCTTGACGTAAAAAGCTGATTTTTGGAAAACGGATTGACTTTAAGGTGTAGAGGTTCGATAAGAAGGGATTTTTCGAAACTCGAATTCTAAGGGGGTGAAACCACCCCTCAAATATTAGAATATTTTTTTATTTAAAAACCGGTGAGTTTTTCGGAAAAACTCTTAAACACGTATATTTTATTTATATATGTTGTTTTACATATTTTAAGATTTTTTAAAAATCTATACAGGGTGTTTCATAAAATATGACCATTGAGTAATCACGATTCTGCTTAAACTACTTGACGTTTAAAGCTGATTTTTGGCAAACGGATTGACTGTGGGGTGTAGAGGTTCGATAAGGAGGGGTTTCTCGAATCTCAAATTTCAAGGGGGTGAAAATGTCCCTCCTCAAATATTACAATATTTTTTTATTTAAAAATCGGTTAGTCTTTCGGGAAAACGCTTCGACACGCATAATTTATTTTGTTTTTTTTTACATATTTTGAATTTTTTTAAAAAATCATACAGGGTGTTCCAAAAAGTTGGGTAATTGATTAACCACGATTCTGCTTAAACTGCTTGACGTAAAAAGCTTATTTTTGGCAAACAGATTTTAGGAAAGTCAAATTCCAACGATATGAAACTACCCCTCCAATATTACCAAGTTATTTAATAATATCACCATATTGTTTTTTCTCATGCTGACATAAATGTGAGAAAATTTTATCCAGTTTGTATGTTAATGGAAATTCTTGCTTTGCTTTATCATCACCATTACAAATAATTAATTCGACGCAAACGAAGTCGTTAGTACACGCTAGTTTTATATAAAAATGGTACTCTATACTTTTTTTGCTCAAATCAAAATTAAACAAAATAGGGTGGATAGAAACTAGGGAACAGCTTTTATTGAAACATTTTTTTCAAAGTCCTTACCATTTCTCTGAAATTTGGGAAAAAAACAATTTATTTATATTTTCATCCCTCCTAGGGGTGAATTTAAAAAAAATCTTAATTGTAATGTATAATTTTCCAAACATATTGAATAAAAATATTAATTATATGAATTTTTCAGCAACTTATTAATATTTTTTATATTATATACAGGGTGTTTCAAAACAAATGCGAAAAACTTCAGGGGGCGATTCCTTGTTCAAAATAAAGGGTAGTTTGCTTCATAAACGTTGGGTCAAAAGTCAACCATTAGGGAGATATCGCGGTACAAAGATGGCGGAAAAATAATGTTTTTATTTTTTATCTTGAAAACGAAAAGAGATAGTCTAATAAAATTTTATGGAAGCATTACTGTTATGAAAACACACTTTCTGGTAATTTTTCACTTTTTTAAAATGAGTGGAAGGGGTTGAAATAAACTACCTCTATCATTCTTGTTAACGAAATTTAAAGAAAAATCTTATCAAACACATGCAAAAAAATAATTTGGACAGTTTAGTTTGTTTAGAAACTTTTTTTATCTCTTGTATTTTTTGATAAAACTCACCGATTTGAAATTAAAAATAAAATGTAAAGCATTACATGTCAGGACAAAAAACATTTTCTGATAAAGAATCTAGTGGGCTGCTGTAATTTTTTAGGAAAAATCTAGTCGGCCGCTGTTACTTTTAGGATGTTCCTAATATTATTTTATTTGACATTACTCTACTGCAATACGTTATTATCTAGATGATTATTATTATCGTTATTATCACTAGATTCTTAATCTAAAAATGTTTTTTGTCCTGACATGTAATGCTTTACATTTTATTTTTTAATTTCAAATCGGTGAGTTTTATCAAAAAAACACAAGAGATAAAAAAGTTTCTAAACAAACTAGACTATCAAAATTAATTTTTTTGCATGTGTTTGATAAGATTTTTCTTTAAATTTTGTTAACAAGAATGATAGGGGTAGTTTAATTCAACCCCTTCCACTCATTTTAAAAAAGTGAAAAAATTACCAGAAAGTGTGTTTTCACAACAGTAATGCTTCCATAAAATTTCATTAGTCTATCTCTTTTTGTTTTCAATATAAAAAATAAAAACATTAATATTCCGCCATCTTTGTACCACGATATCTCCCTAATGTTTCACTTTTGACCCAACGTTTATAAAGCAAACTACCCTTTATTTTGAACAAGGAATCGCCCCCTAAAGTTTTTCGCATTTGTTTTGAAACACCCTATATCATCCCGTAGCTTCTAGCCACCCTATCTCGGTTAATTTTGATCTGAGCAAAAAAATTATATAGATTATTTCTATGTAAAATTTGTCGCTCCACAACTTTTATTTGAACTATTTTTTTCTGGTTCTTACCTTTTCTCCGAAATTTCGAACTTTTTATTAAACTTCGTATTTAAAGTCATATTTTCTTGGACACATGGTTCTAAATTCCATTGAAAAAAAAATCTGTTAACTCTATAATATACCTTTTGTGTGCCTTAATAGTCCTTTAAAGTGCAGGACTAGGAAGATCTACAAATATTATCACTGCCTGTATTTGGAAACTAATTAATAATTTTTGATGCGAGGTCTCCATTTTTTCAATAATTATAATTTCCTTCAAAGTGATTCTAGCTATTCGAATGAAATTTTGAGGGCAAAAGTTACCTACTATAAGTGCTACATACATTTCCTCGCCCATATTATCAAAGCTACGAAACAAAGCAGAATAAGATCTATGTAGATATAAAAAATTAAGTCTTATTAAAAGCATGTGCCATCTCTCCTCGAGAGATGGCATATGCCTTTTAAACACCCTGTATTTGAGGTTTTCTTCATCTTTTTGACTAAGGGAGAGCGCCCACCAAAGTGACGTAGCATATGACGCTGCACATACTTGGCAATGATATGTCAATAGCGTTGCATGATATCTCAGGAAGCGCACATATAAGTGATGTGGCAGGAGCGTAAACATGTCGTCCTCAGAGGATGAAGATTTGATAGCAGTTGTAAACCTAATTAATATGAACCAGAATTGTCCAAAGCGTCGCTATTGGATACACCCCTTTTACAAAAAGAGACAAAGAAACAGAGGATTCAGTATTTTTAAGGAATTAAATATCTATCCTGAAAGATTTCAAGTATTTTATAGAATGAAAAAAGAAACCTTTGATGTGTTAGTTAGAAAAGTTGTTTCCATGCCAAGTCTTGTTTATTCCTGTTGGAAAGTACAAGTGGTGAAAAGTAGAACCAGTTCTAGTTTTGAAGCAGTGGTATGGCATGCTACAACGACAAATGACACGTTTCTGACAGCGCTACTTCAGTCTGCGCTGACACACTTACTGTCGTTTGTTCAATTCAACGTAACTTGCTAGATGCATGTTACCTGTCAGATTACGTGCCACGTCAGATGCTATGTCACTTTGGTGGGCGCTCTCACTAATGAATATTCAGGATTGGGAAAACTTTTTATTTTGACTAAAGAATATTCCTAACTTTTAAAACTGTCACCCGGTATAGGTAATATACTAGGCAAATATTACGAGTATTAAAGTCATACAAAAGAAAACTGCAACTACATCTAAGACTATCATCAATTCTCCTTTTTTCTACTGTCTCGATCGTGGTCCGAACAGCCGCTGTCATTTGTTTCCCGTATAGAGCGCGCGCTCCTTCTCCCCGAGACGGATTTCCGGATCCAATTTTCTGGGAGGCCATTTTCCGGAAGGACGCCCATTCATATCGGTGACGGCGGCCGGGCCGGGCTCTGCCGAGTTTTAGAGCGGCTAAATATTGAATTTATGGGCCCATATAGAGCCGCCGGTCCAGGCCCCGGCTTTCTATGATGAAAGTAGCCAAGATAAAAGATGAGATTGTGCCGAATAGGGACCGAGGCGGCCGGAAAAAGGAGATAAGAAACAATTTTCGTTCTCTCCGGCTGGAAAAATTCGCCCCGTCAGATTTCTCTAATGAAATATTTTTCGGGCTTAGCGATGAGGAGTTTCGGAGGGTCGGGATTACCAGACTTGACTCTTTGCTGTTCTGGGCCATCACTCTAGCCAGAACTTTAAAAATCTTTATTCTGTTCACTACAACTTATCTTACTTATATTATGTATGGAAACGGTCGATTATTACGTAAAATATAGGAGGTACTGCAAAAAGTTAAATACAAAAGTTGTAGGGTTTATAAATATCTATTAGCGAGTAATAAACTTAAGTATACAGGGTCGGTAATAAAGTCGTGGCACATAAAACTTTCCTTTTTTAAATAGAACCCCCTGCGGCTCACCGACCGCTGAGTATTTTGCTCAGCGGCTGACTGTTTTTACGTGTAAAAAGAGACCGCTTAGGGAAACCGCTTACTCAGCCACTCAGCCGCTGACCGTCCCTGAACGCGCCCAATATATTACTTTTATCCAGATCTA